GCAGGAAAAAATCAAAACAATTTGACAAACCTAGCTGTAAGCAGGAATAAGAAAAACAGCATCTACACAAAACAGAATAATTAAAGCAGTACCTCTAACTAGAAGGATTATTGTACAAGACAGCCATCAACTCATGGGAATTATGAAGACATCTGCCAGTAAGATTATCTATAAAAATTTAAAGCCATAATAAGGTATTGACATCTGGCCTGGTCTGGGAAACACCTGCCAGAGAATTTCAGCCACTGTTTTTCATGCCTTAGCTTCTGGCTGAGCTAGCAAGCACCATTTTAGAAAACAACACAATTTTGTTTTAATTACGGATTGTGCCTTACTTAGTATGCTATAGTCACAAAACATAGAGGCAAGTGAATTCCTCCTTAGCTTACTCTACAGGAACCACTTGTCTCATCTGAATAAGAAACTGAGAAAGAGAAGGGTGAGGTGCAGGAATCAGTCCAAGTTTAAAAAACAAATGGAAGGAAGGTGTCAGCACATGGGGCTGGACTGGGAACTGTTTCCCTCAGGCTAAGCTGTGATCAGACTCCTGGCATACAGTCTGAGCTGGACTGTGCTGGAAGTCTTGGGATATAGATCCATGTTCAGGATTCCCAGGGGCATGTGATTTAGGAAATTCTTGTGAAAGGAGGGCAAGGAAATATCCCTAGGGAAGCTAGGGTGACAGAACAGTGTGCTATGTTAAGGAGGCAGTTCTGGCTAAGATGGTGTTTGCCGTATATATGGAAGGCAGCAGGAAAAGCAGGGTCTCTTTTAATTGGGAGCAGCTCATCTCAGAGACACTGCCAAATGTGAGATACCCAACTCCAAAGGTACCCCTTTTCTCTGAATCTACAGCATTACGTTTTCTCACCTCTTCCCTCCGAGTAACAGGATGCAATCTTAACAGTTCTGCAAATGCTAGCTTCTTTCCGGAAAGCTGGGCCAAAACTAGCAAGCCCCAGCTGCCTCTTACTTTTCTGCTTCTCACATCCAATAGAACCTATTTTACTCCAGCTAATAGGAAGCACGACCATCACAATTCTCTGTCCTAGGTAATGAAAAGGTGTCTATAGGCAATGGAAAGGTGTCTGTAGACGCTCAACACTTGTCCTACTACATGTCTCAGAATATTCAGAGACAAAAGAAAAAGAGTGGACCCAACACTTTCAAACGATGGCAATCTCTGGTCTAGCTATACTGTTTTGGGGTTGGGGTTTTTTTGTCATGTGGTTATCTTATTAGTTCCATCATTCAGGATAACTGATTGACCTTTTTACTTATGCGCTACCCCAACATGCGCAGGCACCCCCACACATGCTCATGCTCAGTATAAGCAGAGCACACCTGTGTTAGCTCCCTTTCAGCTGGCATCACCAAAAGGGTTCTGTGAAGAATGGGAAAGATAATTGTAAATTAATCTGCCCACTGACTGAGCATCTTCGAGAATGATAACCTCTGATAAATAACCTCTTTTTCTACCTGTGCTGGTTTGGCTGGGATAGAGTTCATTTTCTTCACAGCAGCTAGCATGGGGACATGCTTTGGATTTGTGCTGAAAACAGCATTGACAATACAGGGATGTTTTAGTTACTGCTGAGCAGTGCTCACACAGAGTCAAGGCCTTTTCTGCCCCTCACCCCACCCCACCAGCGAGGAGGCTGGGGGCGCACAAGGCGCTGGGAGGGGACACAGCTGGGACAGCTGACCCCGACTGACCACAGGGATACCCCACACCATATTATGCCATGCTCAGCATAAAAAGCTGGGAGAAGAAGGAAGGGGGGAGACATTTGGAGTGATGGCGTTTGTCTTCCCAAGTAACCATTATGTGTGATGGAGCCCTGCTTTCCTGGGGATGGCTGAACACCTGCCTGCCCATGGGAAGGAGTGAATGAATTCCTTGTTTTGCTTTGCTTGTGTGCGTGGCTTTTGCTTTACTTGTTAAACTGGTTTTATCTCAACCCAGGAGTTTTCTTACTTTTACCCTTACTATTCTCTCCTCCATCCCACTAGGGGATGTTTTTTTCACCCAAAAATCCACATGTACGAATTACAACCACCTTCTTAAGTACCTGGAGGTGTGCCTTAGAGACCTTTACACACAGTGACTTTAACACTCCTCTCCAGCTGCAGCACTATTTCTAGATGACCCCTGCAATAGCAGTATTTAGTGAGGGCACAGGTGAAGCTCCACGTGACCATTTCATAATTGCCCAGACTGGACATATTTCTCAGAATATTCCATACGTAGCTTGGAGTGTGCTCTGGGCATGGAGAGCACAGAGTCGCACAAGAGGTCATAAAGAAACCTGTTATCCAATTAGATGATCTTACATGCCAGTGACTGTGACTTTATATATGTCAGCTATCAACAGAAATAACTGATTGCTGGCACAGTTTAACAATGCAGATAAAAGAAGATTCTTCACATGAAGGGTGTGAGCCGAAGTCCATGAAGCTTGTAGCTTAAGGTAAAAACCACCACAGTCCTTGGGCCCTCGACACTCAGAAATCTATGGTTCCTGCAATGGAGTAGGGACAACACCACTACTTACACTCTTCAAAATTACATAATGTCTGTCTTTCATCCTCACTCAGGACTTAACACTCCTGACCTCTGTAGGTTCCTGTTACTAACTTTCTAACTACATGACATCACTCCTCCTATCTGAATGTCAGGCAATTAAGCTGCTGCTTATCCTTACTCAAAAATTCTTTATCAAAAAAAAAAGAAGTGCTTGAATTACTAGTTACATTCCTTCACCACCTATCTGTGGTATTTGGGCAGAAGGAGAACGCTGGTTAATATGAGTTGAGTCAGATATGAAGGCGAGCATATCTCCAGTTATCTCAGATTGGCAGAAGAAAAACAGAGCTGTCAGTAAGACCCACCTGGAGTGAAAACCTGGGTCTTCTGTCCTTTGAGCATTTTCTGAACCCGAAGTAGCTGCAATGAGTTCTCTCTCTTATGAACGATGTCTTGGACCCACCGAGATACCTCAGAAACAGATTTCGCAGCCTCTGAAATTATAGCAGCATAGTCTGAGGTTATCAGAAATGAGTATGTATTACGCCTTATCTATCTTGCTGTGAAAAGATAAGATGAAATTAAGAAGCAAGTGTTTTAAACCAAGTATCAACAACAGATTTATTCAGTAATTTCAACAGGAGATTGGGCTAGATGACCTCCAGAGGCCTCTCTCTAACCAACACGTCTGCGGTTCTAGAAAATATTTATTTGCCGATGAAACAACATTAGACAGAGGAATAATCTCCTGGATTTGGAATCCACACAAGTCTTGTTAACTGCTAGTAGATATGGCACAAAGGACATGAATTATCCTAGAAAATTGAGGCACGTGACCAATAGAGTCATAGAATGGTTTGGGTTGGAAGGAACCTTTAAGATGATCTAGTCCAACCCCCCTGCCATGGGCAGAAACATTTTTTGCTAGATTAGATTGCTCAAAGCCCCGTCCAACCTAACCTTCAATGCTTCCAGTGACAGGGCCTCAACAACTCCCCTGGGCAACCTGTTCCAGTATCTCACCACCCCCATCGTCAAAAATAGAGCTGCCATTTTTCCAGCCTAACCCCCAGGCCAATTTCCCCCTCAGTTATTCTACATTTTTACTCCCAATGTATCCTCAGGGACATCTTGATCAAGATGGAGAACTGAAATAGTAATCCACTAGAACCCCAGAGAGAAGACGATTTTTCTTCCTGTGGAAGTAGACAGACGAGAATCCGAACATCATTAGCAAGGAGGCTAACACTGATCAAAGTGCCAGCATCTACAGGTGGAATCATACTTGCAAGTTTCTGGTACTCTGCACTGTCTGGGCTGGTGTTCTCCAGCAAGTCTCTGAGGAAATGTTTGTACCTAAGACAGAGAGAGCAGGTTTATTTCACAAAAAGGTACCAGGAAGAGCAGCACCTCCTATTAGTGACAGAATGATGCACAACACTCCACCAGGAGGTGGAGTACACGCCTCTAAGTCTAAACAAGCAGCTTTTGGTCACAGTTCTTCAATCACATCCATTTTATTTTCAAATTTATCAACTAAATTAACCCAAGTATTTTATATGTTTGCAAGCCTTTGGCATTTCCTGGGGATCTGATAAAAGCAACCTCACATATTACTTAAGTTCATAAGACTCTCTTAGCATTCACATAAAAATGCCTTCAATAACAGACAAATTTCTCTTTGAACTATTTTTTTTTAATGTCTGAATGGTTGCATTCATACCATATGTTTCCTGCCCACACAAGAAAATAAAGGCATTTGTATAAGAACTAGGAACTGCCTTTTTCTTTTTTCCTCTCCAGTCTTTACCGGAAAGGATCAGATCTCCGCAAGTGCTTTCTCCCAATAAAGTCAAACTGTTTTCGGTCTGAAATGACAGAATAAATATCACATTGAATAGATTCACAAACTGGCAGAAGTCATGTGACCTACAGTATATGCAACAGAGTTTTGAAGAAACTTGAACATGAAAGACCTGATTAATGAAAAAATTAGACCTTCTGTTAAAAAGCGACCATTCTTCCAAACAGTTGGACAGCAACAAACATACTGCTATTTTACACATTTAAAGGAACAATCCAAAGAATTATGGTAAAAAGAAAGCTTATGTTTATATCTGACAAGCTGATTAAAAAGGTTACATAAAGCTACCTGAAAGACTGTGGTATGCTCACTGGGAGTTATTTTCAAAGAAACAAAGCTCTCAGTCTCTCAAATTTGCTTTAACGTGGGTAAGACCAGGGTTGAAGAGCAGCTACTTGATCTACAGCAGCAGCAGATGGGTTCCCAGCAAACCACCCGTGCTCTGTATTACTCACATACCCTCCCCAAGAAAGGGCGGCCCTTGGGTGCACGCAGCACTTGCCTCGTGCAGTCAGCCTGCCTCTTCAAAGGGGAGATGATGCCTCAAGGGGGTAATGCAGCAATCCAGACTGGATCTGTCCAGGCTCAGGCCACTGCGCTAGGCACCAAATCTGAGTTAAGCATATGGCCCTGATAACCAGAGAGGGGAGAAAAGCTCCCCTGTGTTCATTAATCTCTCTCCGAAAGCAACCATCTACAAGAGAGGAGAGTCACAATGCTCCAGGTCAGCAACCCGCACAAAAGTGGAGTGAGACCACCTCTGGCAGAGAGCACCCCTTCTGCAGCACTTCAGACAGCTTGCTTTTGTTCAGGGCCTAACTTCAGTAGCTTACCAAGATGACGGAAAGCCTCCACTTCAATTCTACCCAAGAGTTAGATGAAGGGCTTAGGAGGCAAGGTGAAACACAGCTACCTCTCTGCATCATCTCCCATCCATGTACACTGGTTCCACTTTACAGGCACATCTTCAGGTCTGTGTCATTGCTGTCTATATGCTCTGATTTTGAGACATATTAAGCAACTTTACCTCCCATAGCAACGAAGACACTATTATGTTCCTTTTTTCCCCTCTCGTACTAACACCTTGAAGACAGAATTGCTTACTTACTGGTGCAGCCTCTGCAGGGGCAAAGGAAGCAGATCCTCTAGCTTCTTCCCTCGAAACTGAGGTCGAGCCTCCTGGAGTTTCTTAAACCGTCGGAATGACTTATTTTTCCTCAATTGCTCCTGTATGCAGCAGAAAAGGCATATAGCTTTGAGACTATAGAAGAAAATATGTGCTCTAGCATGCACCAGAACTTGGAACCCTTAAAACTCTTAGAGTTTAGGACTCCAGTCCTAAATGCAAGCATCAACAACTTCTTTTGTGGCCATAGGCAAGCAATTCCCTTTCTCCTGACCACTATTTCCGAGCAGGTAATGGAAGCGATATCCCCTCTTCATACAAGCACAGCAGTATAAAGCTGTGGAAATGGAAATAAAGTAAATGGAAATAAAGAAAAAAAGGAAGGTTGACTCAGATAGGAAAACAAGGAGTCCACTTGTGGCTTTTTGCCACTCATTTTAAGACAAAGCAATGCAGCCCACATTCCCATCACCACAAGGCAAGTATCCAAAATGGCTCTTTCACTTAGGAAATCAAAAGTGTGAATATATGCATGCGAACAGAACAGAAGGGAAACATCCCAGTACGCCCTGCAGCTGGGAACAAGCATGGACAAAAACTGGAAGTCAGGTGGTTTAAATTCCAGATACAGCTCTCAGGACTTTGAAATAAGAATATATCCTTCTGAAATTTCTTGGAAGTCAGGTTGTATTTGGAGAGGTAAGTGGGAAGGAAAAATTCCTTTTCTACCGTAGAAAAAAAAAGTGGGAAAGAAAAGGAAATCCCACTGTTAGGATACAGTTAATAGTAGTGGGAAAGACTAAGAGACCTGCTAATTCTCCAGAAAGAGATCACTGTTGCCTAGTGTTCCCACTGCTAACGCTCCAGGCTTGCAAGCCAAGGAGGAGTGGGAGTAAATACAGAACTGTTTGAGAAAGCTGTGCTCAGTGTCTGCACATACATACACAAACACCTGAAACAAGCTTCAAAAATTTGAAGCTCTAAATAAGTAGAGAAATTTTCACCATTCTATTATGGAAGAAAGACTGAGAAAATAGCAGCTGCACAGAAAAAGGAAGAAAACTGATCACTCTAGAAACAGAAGAAAAAGGGAAGGATGTAGCTGTTTCACAGAATGGAGAAAGAGAGGGAAGGAAGAACATGAAGAATAAAGGAGATAATTACCTTCAAGGTTTTATTTGCCTGCTCCAAATTCTCAGCATAGTGGCCATAAAGCTCCAGATTCTCACAGAAATTTTCCAGTCCTGGTCCCAAATTCCCTCTTTCCAGGTGAAGTGACAGAACACTGTCCACAAGGAGCAAAGACAACTCGTGAGGGGTACATTACTGCTGGCATTTTCACAGCACCCTCTGGTTCACTCCTGTGCTGACCTTCTTTTCTCAGTCTCCACCTCACATCCAGTTTCTGTGCCAAATACGTGCTTGGTGGTCACAGAGTAAGCTACAGAAAACATCCCTTAAAAATACCATGGAGCAGACTTACTGCGTTTAAACCACTATCCAGAGAGCAACCGGGCATCCAGATATGTGGATACAGACTAGCAGTTTCCTGGGTACACCTGCAAGTGCCACCAAGGCTAGCAGTGCTAAAAGTGAATGCCTGTTTTACGAGGCGTTAGCTTTATTTCCTGAAATCTTACTTTCCCATCAATATAGGGTCCTTACCACATAATTACAGGAATCACATCAGTGTGCTCACTTACTGGCTGGCTGAATGTATGGTTTCCAGGGGTCCAAATATGGTTTCCAACACAGCAGGTTTCAGCGTCCCTTTGGCCTTTAATATTGTCACAAAGAACTAAGTAGGAAAAAACAGAGAATTTCAAACAGGTAAAATTCACAGGTCACTCAAAGGCTATTCATAGTACACAGCAGAAGCAAGAAGTTGCAGGCTGCATGCTCTTTAGCTCGAAAGGATATGTTGTGAACGCCTACCTAAGATATCTATCATCAGATGTAAGCCTTCTTGGTAACTTTGACCATAACTGTAAGCACATGGAACAGCACTACAGCACTGATAGAGCCTGTTTCAGTATTCCTAGGCGTATGTTTTTCACCACCTTGTTCATAATCTTTGTCTTGTCTGTGCCCCTATGCTTCATACATCTCGGGCATCTTAAGGCGAGTCCCCTATACAATCAAAACTTAAAGATTTATGTCTGTGTACAGATCAAAGCCAAGGGGCCAAAACCACGAGCTATCAGATATTACAGAGGAGGTAAAAGAAAAACAACAAGAAAGCCTTTCAGCCCCAGCAGTCGTCCCATGCAGTAGGGATGTATCAAAGTCTTGCTCTTGACCCTTCCTCATGACAACACAAATAAGTATGTGCTGCCTGAAGGTACCCGCATATCAGAAGGGGCCGAAATACTCACTGTGACCACCAAATCCAGCTGCTCGAGGTATTTGTGTTCAGTTTCCAGCAGCTCCTTGGCTGTCCGGCTGCGCTTTCTCTCCCAGCGAGCCCTCTGCTCTTCCACAGTGTTTGTTCCAGCCATAAACAGCAGGGATGAGTCACTCATGGCAGCCTCAGGGCTGAGAAACAGAAAGGTAACCGATCCTGAAGAGCCAAGAGAGATGGACACAAAACAAAAGAATAACCTATGCCGCAGGGTAGGATCCTGAGCTACAAACTCTACGCTTTACTATGAAAGAAGGGAAGTCAATTGCCAGCAACCGTTATTAACGGTTTCCTTCTGCATTCCTACCCACGGGTACAGGAGCCCTGCATCAACCAGAGGAACGGTGTTAGAAAGACCAGGCCATGAAAGCAAAAGCAGTACATTACGATACGTCTGTAAACAAATGTCAAGTGTACCATCCCACTCACAAACCACTGCTTCCTGTGCTTTGCCCCATTCTTTGTGCAAAATTCTCAATAAACTCAAGGAAGCTAGTGGGTATAAGAGGTACTGTGGGCAGGAGTAGAAAACAGCCATAAGATTTGTCTTGGGGAGGGGAGAGAGAGAGCGAGAAAGAGAGCACTCTTGCTTGTTTTCCCATGGAGGTTCCCAAGAAGCGAGTGGTTTGCATTGTCATTTTCTAACAGTAGTTTGTGTTTTTAGAGATGAGAGAGACTGAGCAACTGCTGTGAATCACACTATCCACTTATTAACCAGCTTTGCTGCTGCTCTTTTCTTCTGCAAGAGCATCATGGTTTTATTACAGAGAAAAACACTAACTCTTTTATCACCCTCTCTCAGAGAAAGAAGCATGCATTACCAGAGCATCGGTTAAATATTGCTCTGTCTGGCAGCGCAGGTTGTTGCACACTTGCCATGGCATGAAGTCTGCAGTTTCTGTGGAAGCTGAGCTACCCCCACAAAAGTTCTGACTCCCATACGGACAAGCTATACTAATACAGAAAGATGTGTCGTTGTAGAGAAGGGAATTTGTCAAATACAGTCTTCCAGAGACATTTCAGATATCTGAATCAATGTCTGAAACAAAAGTTTCACATCAAATGAGTACAAAGACTCATTTACTGTGTTTGCAAAAGTCCAGATAGCTGAGGGATACACACGGTATTTTATAGTAGCAGGAGTTTCTCCAGAGGTTTATTCTCACATTCACTCAGGAAAGAACCACAAGCCTAGCTGAAGCCAGGTCTTTGTCAGAAAGGGCAGACCTGACATCCCTATGTCTCCATCCCTGGAGGTATTTAAAAGATGGGTAGATGTGGTGCTTAGGGACGTGGTTTAGTGGTGGACTTGGCAGTGATAGGTGTATGGTTGGACTTGATCATCTTAAAGGTCTTTTCCAACCTAAATGATTCTGTGTAAGCCGCAAATGAGAGCTTCTATATTTGCTCACAACACAACCACAAGCCTAGCCGAGGACACGTCTTGGTCAAACAGGGCAGACCTGGCACCCCGTGGATGGAGGCACAGCGCTGCAGGGAATACCAGGCAAAAGCTTAGCGTTAGCATGCAGTTGCAAAGTACTCACCGATAATAGACTAAAATGCTACCATTCGCAGAGCTCCTTTAGCCAGGGTAGGCTGCAGTCGCGATTTTCATTTTGCAGCCCAATTTCTTTGAACAAATAATAATTAAAAAAAATAAAAAAGACAGACAAAAAATGTTACCCCAGGTTTGACCACCTCCCGCTCGCATAAAGCAGTGCAAACACTCCCATTATTCCAAAATACATTATGTTCTAACTGTCTCAGGTCTGCAGGGCGAGAGTTGGCAGGAGCCCGTGGGCAGGACAGAAAATACCTCACCTGCAGGTGAGGGAAGCGCTCCAGCTTGCTTCTCTCTTCTCAGAAGAGAAACCTCTCTATGCTTTCTGTACAGTTAACTACCTTATGATACCCCATTAGCAATATTCCCTACAAGATTTCTAAATTTCCTGTTTTGAATATCCTCCAAAAATCTCCCTTGATTACCCCAGCGAAGCCACTCGTGATGTCTCAGAAGGGTTAACCACCCCGTGGGCCAGCTCCCAGGGCCACTCAGCTCCACCCCTGAGGACGCTGACTGCTGTAGAAGAGGCGGCGGGAAGGCTCAGCCCCCGAGGCCTCAGGGCGGCCCTTACCTGCTTCCCCCCGCTCCTGCCGCCGCCTTTAAACCGCCTCACCACCGCGGCAGGGGGGCCTTCCCCCCGCGGGGCCCCCCCCCCCCCCCCCCGGCCCCG